AGCCAATATTCTGCAGATCCCAAATCTTTTCAATCCCTTAAATCAAGCTAATCACTCCTTTAATGCATTGGTCCGTTGGAGCCTAATTTTGCACTATAAAAAGGGGTGTTTGGGTCTGCTTTTCTCATCAATTCACTTCACTTTATTCATATTATCATTGCATCCAAACAACATTATTTTCCATAGCTTTCTAGAGCCAATTTGTGAAGTTTGAGTTGTTCTTGAGCGTATATAGTTTACTCAACATCTACTCTTAAAGAGAGTCTTGTTCTTGAGTGTTCTTAGTGTTGTAAACACGTTTAGGGAAGCTTGTTTCCCTTGGTTGTACGAAGGAAAGGTATTTTCCTTCGGGTTGAAGTCTTGGAGTGCGGTATCTCCGAGCAAGTGTATTGAGGCTCGTGGGACTCGAGTTCTCAGGTTGTAACGGTTTGTTAAGCACCCGTAAGCTTAACGGAAGTAGTGTAGCTCGAGAGAGTCTCTCGGGAGGCTGGATTAGCCACAAGTTGTGGTGAACCAGGGTAAATCTTGGTGTGCTCCCTTTACTCCTTTTTATTCCGCTCTTTACTTTATCCCTACGATTTTTATTCCGCGAAAATTTATAAACATTCTCGTGCCTCACTATTCACCCCCCCCCTCTAGTGAAGGGCACTTATTCTAACAAAAATCCCAACAATTGGTATCGGAGTTTGGTTGCACTGGGCAGGAGGGATTTGTAAGCGGTAAAAGAAGAAATTTTGAGAACTCAGGGACTGGTCGGTTTTGGCCAGAAGGCGACCATGGGATCTCACGAACAAAGTGGATGGCATGGGGACCGGGTACGAAGCGGCATGCTGACTTTGTGAAATATGGTGCAGGAACGTGATTTGAAGAGACCGATGGTCTAGCGGAGTGGAAAACTGCGGTTTATGTCTTGTGTCGAAAGTCTTTCCGGCAAGAAGAGGTCGGGCGGCGTGTCCCGCAGGTGTTGTTGCGGTGGTGCAAGATGGGCGGATCGAAAGAAACTAATTGCTAGAAGGGTGGTCTTAGAGAGTTTTAACAAAGGTGAGTTGTCATTTTTTTTAGCTCGGGGTGGAGGGTTAAAACTCTAGGGAGCTAAGGTAGTGGCAGGGATCTCGACGGGACTCGTGGAGATGGAGTCACGGGTACAATGAAAACTGGAAGCGGCAAGCTAGGACCTTGTGTTATTGAACAAGGTGGAGCTACAAAAGCAATAAAGGGTGACAGAGATCTTGTAATTTTGAGCAAGATGGGGTCACAAGAAAATGTTTTCAAGGTGGTAATGATCTTGGTGGTTGGACCAAGGTGGAGCCACGGTTAATTTTTTTTCTTTGAGGTTGGCAGCAGTGATCTCGGTGGAGCAGACTGAGAGGGGGCCAGGATATTTTTTATTTCGGAGTAGCGGTGATCTCACCGGAGAAGTGATGTGGAGCTACAAAGTTTTTTGATTATTTAATCAAAGTGGAGTTTGTTGGGAAATATTGATTAAATATTCAAAAAAAAAGATAAATAAGAAAAAAGAAAAATAAGGAAGAGGACAAAGAAGATAAAAAAGAAGATATGGATGGTGCAGTGGATGCATCCATCATGCATGCATGTGAGAGGTTGTATACATGTGATGTTAAGGGCCCATTTACCATCTTCCTCTTGGATGGAATCACTCCGTATGTATATAACTTGAGTTTTTTAAGAATAGCTTGTGAGTGTGGGTTTTACACACCACCAAGATAGAGAGAGAAACATGGGAGGAATTCTACACAAGAATACCACCGGAAAAATCCAGGGGGTCTTGGTGAGTGTAGAAAGTAACTGGTTTTAGTTACTCGGAAAAATACATCCGGGTATAGGATGTGGAAAGATCTGTTTATAGGTGTCTGGAATTTAGTCTTGTAAACAGGGGAGAGTTTTTTTGTATATTGTCCTGAAATAGTGGAAATATAATTTTTTTCTCTCATATATATTCTTCTTGTGTTTGTTCTCTCATTTTTCTGGTGTTCTCAATATTTTTCGGTATCTTACGCACTTAAAATCCCAACAATAGTAAATATAAAAAGTCTACTTTATTTAATTTGAGGTCAAAATTTACTAATTTTGACCTAAAAAGTCAAAAGTGGACAAATACTGATGGACGGAGAGAGTAGGTTGAAAAATTTATACCAAACCGAACCTAATTTGGAGACTAAATACCGGTCTGAAAATGGACCTCTCCGGTCCAATTTTTAGCTGGTTTTTGGGTAATAATGCAGCGCCGTACATAGAGCATGCCGCCAGAAGGCACACGATTTCCACCTTTGATACGCATTTCAAAAACTATATTACAGATTTTCCGTCTTATATGCATTTAATAATGAAGAATTACACAGTAATTGATTTATTATGTTCTTCTTGCTGCATCTGCGTTCAATCATATTTTGAAGATGTAGAATCAGCTTAACCCTGTTCGTTCGTTCGTGTTATGTCGTAAGCTAACTTGCCAACATCTTAGGGTTAGAGTCTTTGGGCGATTGATAACTTGGTTTGACATCATACTGTGCGATTACTGCCCTTAGTTTCATCAGGTTTAATGAGCTTAAAGAATGGCTGCACAATACATAGGATCTCTGGTCCATTTCAAAGCATGCTTATGCATTTCCTTGTGTCATATGCTTCTTGAGCAATTCTTTCAATTTCAGATCCAGTCTTAGAAATTAAGTTGATTTGCTGACAAGAAAATCTGCTGGACCCCTAATGAACCAACTGAAAAAAATTCATGCCCATACCCTGAGAAACGGTCTGAATTTTACTAAATTCTTGATAAATAAACTCCTTGAGATACCAAACATCCCTTATGCCCACAAGCTGCTTGACAATACTCCTAACCCAACGATCTTCCTATACAACAAGCTCATTCAGGCCTACTCTTCTGATGGCCCTCACGTTCATTGTTTTTCTCTCTACATCCAAATGTGCCGGCAAGGCTGCTCCCCAAATGAACACACTTTCACCTTCCTCTTCGTTGCTTGTGCTAGCCTTTCAAGTCTTAGATTGGGTCAAATGTTGCATTCGGATTTCATCAAGCATGGGTGTCAGTGTGATATTTTTGCATTAACTGCATTGGTTGACATGTATGCTAAAACGGGCTCAGTTGGTTTGGCACGGAGGCAGTTTGATGAGATGAAAGTAAGGGATGTACCCACATGGAACTCACTGATTGCTGGTTATGTCAAGAGTGGGGATATGGAGGAAGCTTTGTATTTGTTTTCAAAAATGCCTTCAAGGAATGTGATATCTTGGACTTCAATAATATCTGGTTATGCCCAAAACGGTCAGTATGGGGATGCTCTGGCTATGTATAGACAACTGGAAAAGGAGAATGGTGTGAGGCCAAATCAAGTGACAATAGCCAGTGTTCTTCCGGCTTGTGCAAATCTTGGCGCTTTAGAGGCTGGGCAGAAGATCGAGGCTTACGCAAGGGAAAATGGTTTCATCAAGAATATGTTTGTTTGTAACGCCGTACTTGAATTGTACTCAAAATGCGGCAAACTTGAGACAGCGATGAAAGTATTTGTTGAGATGGGTCAGAGGAGAAACTTGTGCTCTTGGAATACTATGATCATGGGTTTAGCCATCCATGGAAAAGGCAATGAAGCACTCAGTCTCTTCAACCAAATGTTGGTTAGTGTTCTTTATATGAGTTTCGGATCATTGGTTGTGTTCTTTCATCAGATAAAAAACTTTTGGTCTTTATTTAAACTCCATTTTTTACAGGAAAATATTTCCTGTTGTGTTTTCTCTGTTTGACACACAAAAACAATTTCCTAAAATATTTTCCGATCTACGGAACCAGAATATATTATCCAAATGGAATACTAATCTTGAATTTTTTTTACCTTCGTGGAAAATGACTTCCTAATTTTCGAACGGGTTTTTGGGAACAAAACATTTTATTATACGGAGAAGTAACATTACATATTTTCTAGGAAAGCATTTTCCTTCAAAAAAAATTTGGAGAACAAGTAGATTATTTTCCCTTATACAAATGGGACCTTAGTGTAAACTGTAAACACTACTTTGGTTGGAATTCAGGAAGAAGGAATTTCACCGGATGATGTTACATTCGTAGGAGCAATCATGGCATGCACACATGCTGGAGGCATGGTTGCAAGAGGATGGGATATCTTCAAGTCCATGGAACGAAAATTTCACATTGCTCCTAAACTGGAGCATTACGGATGCATGGTTGATCTTTTAGGACGTGCGGGATATTTGGAAGAAGCTTATGATCTCATACAGAACATGCCCATGAAACCCGATTCTGTTGTTTGGGGGGCTCTGTTAGGAGGGTGCAGTTTTCACTACAATGTTGAACTCGCAGAGAAAGCCGCGAATTTCCTATCTGAATTAGAGCCGTGGAATCCGGGAAACTATGTCATTCTTTCAAACATATATGCAAGGGCAGGGAGGTGGGATGGCGTGGTGCATCTACGGAAACTGATGAAAGGGTCCCACATCCGAAAGGCTGCAGGTTACAGTTTCATTGAAGGAGGAGGGCGAATTCACAAGTTTATAGTTGAGGACAAGTCACACCCAAGTTCTAATGAGGTATATGCACTCCTTGATGAAATCATAGCCAAGTGTAGATCTTATGTAAATGGAATCTATATTGATTCTGATTTTGTTATTGAATAAGAGCTAGTAGATCACATTTTTTGTTTTGTTATGCTTAGAGAATGTTAATCAACCAAAATCTATCTCAGCGTCCTGTATGGATATGAGTCATATGACTGCGCCTTTATATGAGGGCCGTAGTAGCCTTTTGAGCGCCGAAGACTACACTTATTTCCAACTCTTTGTAAGAAATTTTAAAGCTTGTTACTTCGTCGGGTAAAACTATTTGTACTCCAAGGATTTGTATCTCATTTTGTACACCGCAGGGATGCACTAACATTTTGTGTTGGTGTAATGATAATTTTTGTTAACGCACCAACACTTTGTGTCAGTGTAACTTTTTGTTAACACATTAACACTTTGTGTCAATGTGAACCATCAAAATGTTGGTACATACCTTTAGTGTACAAATTTTGGCGTACATGTAGCATGCTCCTACTTCGTATGCTCTTTTGATTTGATAGATATATGATATCGGATTTCCTACTTTTTCCCATAAAAAAGTTTTAGTTTTTTTGTTTGACCCTAGGAAAGTTTTCTTTTTGAGGAAGAAATTATGCGGTTAGAGGCATTGGGTCGGGCGAGTAAAAAAATTGTCTCGCCTTGCCATGAGAAGAGAGCAGTTGCTTGCAACAGCGTTGGAAGAGAGACGAGCGAGCCTCCCATGCATGCCTATGGGCAAGCCAACTTCACCGCCACCCTTCGCCACTGTAATCGGCTAATCCCAACCCCGATCCCCACACAAATATCACCGGTCACACCATGCCAATTGCAACCCACCTTCCCGGCTAACTGTCCACCTTCGCCGCCACCCTGTGCGAATATCGTTGCCCAATCACCGCTGATCTCTCCTCTTCTCCCTGTGCGAAATCGCTGGCTGCCTTTTCCCATGTGCGAAATTGCTGACCGCATATCCCCCCATGCGAAATCATCGGCCATCTACCCACTTTGCCGCCACCTGTTGGAAAATCTCCGCCTACTTGGCACCCCAAATATCCAACTCTGCCGTGCCATGTCACAATTGGCATAACTTGCCATTGCAAGCCATGGAATGCCACATTCTTTGCATGATTGATTTTGATTTGTTGGAAGGTGCCATGCATGACATTCCATTGCAAGACTCGTCACTGCTAATGCTTTTAACACACTATGAACAAACTCGATCACATAGTTTTCCTTTTATTAATATTTGTGTTTGGACGTTATGTGAATTGTGAAATTTTATTATGGAACGGAGGTTCTTACTCCCTCCGTTCTAAAATGGATGTCACTCTCACTATTACACTTTTTCGATAATTTTTTTTGTTTGTGTATTTTCATTGATCATTTGATAAAATAAAATATTCTTGTCACCTCTTGTTTTGTAGAATATTTGATGTATTTTTGAAATTAAGGTGTAATTTATCCTTTTATATCTATACCAAATTATAATTAAAATAATTTTAAAAATTGTGAAATTTTGTACGTTTTTAAGAGTGTGGTATCCATTAAAAGAGTGAAGAAATATTTTCTTTGAATCAGGGAAGCTGCTGATTTGTCGTGGTTATTGAACCTTATTTTATGGAGTGTTTCTTTGGTGCACCTTGGATGCATATCATTTTTGTGGACCTTCTCACATTAAAAATATTTTGTTTAGTTTAAAAAAACAAATGCTTATCTAAATAGTAAAGAAAATAATTATTTTTTTCATATGTATGTTCATGGGGGACGTTAGGTCCACCGTAAAATTTACCTATTTTGTGTTTGGTTTCAAAGGAGATGGCAATTCAATTATAAGGTTCACCTCATCAAGAATCATTTTATTTTTGTTACGATCCATATCCTACTCATAGGATCATATCTAGACCAAGCAAAAGAGAAATCGAAAAGATTACTTAAACTAAATAATCTGAAACTGAAATAAAAATGATCCAAAAAGTGAAGATTCAATCTATAATCGGAAAATCAAGACGATCTGAACCTAACCAAAATCCAAATAAATATATTCATACTTGATTTAAATCTGAATTCGATCAGATCCAACTGATTCAACCTGAAGTCGATAATAACTAACACTGATAATACGCGAAACCGATAAGATCAGAAACCGTTAATTCTCGAAATCGATTATATTTGAAACCGATTATATCCAAAACTGATTCTGCATGACAATAAACATATTATATTTACGTACGTTAGTGCACAATTATACACATGTAATTTCAAACTTTTACTTTTCTTTATCCACTTCAGCTAATTTTATTACAAAATAAATTATTATTACAAAATACCATTTATGAAATTTACTCAAAAAAGTATACTAAATTCCATGAAGAAGCCTGATTTTATCTTAATTTCATGTGATTATATCTAATTTTATTTTATCTGAGAGTAAATTTGAATGGTTTTAAGCTTATTTACTCGTTTTTATTGAATTGCATTCATTTAACCAAATTTTTATCAAATTACATTCAATTTCAACCAATTCAACACATTTAAATTAAATTGTATGTAATTTATCAAATTTCACTCAATTTTTACTTTATCAATTTTTACTTAACTCAATCTTATTTGATTGGAATAGTACATTATTCCAATTCAGCTTTTTTCTTTGTATATACTAGATTCAAATGCGTGTGTTGCACGGTAAAAAGTTAAAATCTAAAATTTAACACCATTACATTCAATTTCACTTCAATGTAATCTAACTGTATGCAATTTCATTCAATTCAGGTGTAAAATTGATTGTACTTCATCGACTTGGATTTAATTTAATCTAATTTCAACCAAATGCATTCAAATTCACCTAATTTCACTTCAGTTTAACATAATTATATTCAACCTCATATAATTATATTAGGAATAAAATTGATTGAATTTCAAATAATTTCACTAAAGTTTGTACACAATTGTATTCAAACTCATTCAAGTGTAACAATTTTTAGGAGTAAAATTAAGTAAATTCCAATTAATCTCACCTTATTTAACTCAATTTTTATAATAGATTGAAAAATGTGATATGGTAAAAAAACATGGATAATTAAATTTCAATTTGAAAATAACATATATCCAAAATATATATGAATTGAATTGTATCCAAAATCGAAATATATTTGAACCAAAATATATCCAAAACTAAAAAATATCCCACCAAAACGTATCTGAAATTGATATCTATCCGAACCAATTGATATCTGCACTGTATCGAAACAGATCTAGAACCAACAAAACTGAAAATTGTATGGAACCAAAATAAATTTGAACCGAAAGTAAACCAAACTGGTCCGAATCGATTATAACATATATCTGAAATATATCTATCCAAACATAAAAATCCAAACCAGAACCGACCTGATTGATCCAATTGCAAGGTCTAATCATATTTAGTGAGTCTATGGAGATATTTGTCTTTAGGGAACAATTCTGTTGAAACTGGCCAACTGTACAATTAGCGATGCCTCTACATTTTTTGAGTACCTCTGATACTTTGTTCATAAAATTGATAGTTTTTACCCATCACAATCCACCCCCGAAACACCCCACCTCCGTGCCGCCCTAGCTCCCCTCTAATGAAGGGGGCTGAGGTGGTGGGCAAGGGTTGGGGATTTAATTTTTTATAGATCTTACTGTTGGAAACCCAAAAAAATGTCAGAACATCACTGTGGCCTCAAGGTGACGTGGTCACGCGAGGACGTGGCACTACCACGACAGACCACGGGAAAGGGGGCATGGGGCATTTTAGGTAGCCTAAAAGAATTCACATTTTTTGTTTAATTAAGTTTTTTGTGCACTAAAATTTGAATCTCAAATTGTACATTACAATTTTGCACCTTCATTTTGTCCCAATGAGATGCTAGTATGATGGTTCACACTTGCACAAAATGATAATGTAAAATGTTTTGATCGCACTAGCATTTTATGTTTATATGAATCATCAAATTATTGATGAATAGCTCTAGTGTACAGTTTGAGATACCCTCACTGGTGTATCCTTATCGTGGTTGTTTTTGTTTGACCTAAAAAAAGTTTTATTTTTGAGGAAGGAATTTTGTGGTTTCCACATTATGAACAAAATGCGACTATATACTTTTATTTTTATTAATAATTTGAAATTTTATTGTGAAAGAGAGTTTTATTTCATCCTTGAATCAGGGAAGGTGTTGATTTGTCATGGTTATTAAATCTTACTCCGCATTTTGTGCCTAAAGGGATAATTTTGTTATTTTAGTGTTTTAGAGTTACTACTAAAATGGGAATGGTCTTTTGTATTTAGGTAACTCTTTTTTCGAGGGAAAATTTTAGGGCTGTAAACCAATAATATCCATGACGGATATGACATATCCGAATTCGTATTAGATGGATAATTCCTGATTTTGGATATACTCGGACCGATTACATATTCAAAACTGATCAAATATCCGAATCCGATTGAATATCAATGTGTTCAAACCCGAAAATAAAATTATAAATTGGTGGCAGAGGAATTCGAACCGAACACCTCAACCTTAAAATTCAAAGTTGCAGTCTTCTAGGCTAAATCAAACACTTGGTATTTGTAAACAGTACATAATATATATATTTTTCTTAATACATGCCGTGTTCTAATTTTTTTTTAACAAAATAATCTACATATGACTGTCATACTTTACATTTTTTCTTTCTGAGTGGGGTTCCATGGACACTGCCCAACAATGCAACTAGTCGGTGCTACTGCATTTTTGGAGCGCCTCTAGTGCTCCGTTCAGAAAATGTATGGCTATTAGGGGGTAGGAGCCATCCTTTTTCTGAACGGAGCACCAGAGGTTTAAAATGCAGTAAAACCACTAGTTGCGTCGTTGGCTAGTGTTAATGGAACCGTGCCCTTTCCTTAAAAAAACTTCGTATTATTTATAATTATAGGAATACTTATGTTATGTGATACTCTCTCTGTCCTGCAGTATTCGTCCATTTTCATAATGGCACAAAAACCAAGGTGAAGGAGAATAAAATAAAAAAAGACACATCTACCCTTAGTTTTGGAAAGGATTATGCTATGTGTACCCCAAGGTTTGTACCCCAATTTGTACCCCGCAGTTTTGCACCAACACATTGTGTTGGTGTAAAACTAATTTTTGTTAAATGCACCAACATTTGTGTCCGTGTGAATTTTTATTAACGCACCAACACTTGTCACTGCAAAGCTCACCCCGATTAAAACCAAAAGAGAGAAGAAAAAAAAATCTGGCAG